GTGGGTCTCGGCCTGGTCTCGCAGTGGGTCTCTCGGCCTGGTCTCGCAGTGGGTCTCGGCCTGGTCTCGCAGTGGGTCTCTCGGCCTGGACTCGCAGTGGGTCTCGGCCTGGTCTCGCAGTGGGTCTCTCGGCCTGGTCTCGCTGTGGGTCTCTTGGCCTGGTCTCGCTGTGGGTCTCGGCCTGGTCTCGCAGTGGGTCTCTCGGCCTGGACTCGCAGTGGGTCTCGGCCTGGTCTCGCTGTGGGTCTCTCGGCCTGGTCTCGCAGTGGGTCTCGGCCTGGTCTCGCTGTGGGTCTCGGCCTGGTCTCGCTCTGGGTCTCGGCCTGGTCTCGCTGTGGGTCTCTCGGCCTGGTCTCGCTGTGGGTCTTGGCCTGGTCTCGCCGTGGGTCTCGGCCTGGTCTCGCTCTGGGTCTCGGCCTGGTCTCGCTGTGGGTCTCTCAGCCTGGTCTCGCCGTGGGTCTCGGCTTGGTCTCTCAGTCTGGTCTCTTGGCGGCTCATGGTGCTGTCTTGGCTTGGTGTGTGAATGGGTCCTGCCTGTGCATGTTCTGGAGGCACCAGGGGAGATCGGGGAGATCGGGGAGGTGGCAGCTTCAGCAGCAGTGAAGGCATCACAGCCCAATGCAGGAAGAGCGAGTGGTGAGGGAGGTCCCCCCAGTATCTGCGGTGGTGGTGGTGTTGAGAACAGGCAGCTGAGGTCTCCCAGAGACCGACACAATTATGAAGGTAAAGCTTAACGTTTTAAACTCTGTGTCTCTTATTACATTGTACCTGAGTTTTTTGTATCTAGGTGCTTTTGTACCTAAGATATCATCGTGTGTGGTGACATTGTACACGTTTTACTGTACTCCTATACTTGAGCACATGACAATAAAATCTAAATCTAAACCTAAATGACAAATAACAATGGACCCAGCACTGATCCCTGCAGAACACCGCCTGTCACAGGCCTCCAGCCCAAATAAAACAAAACCCTCCATTCTTAAACGAAGGGAGTAAACAGAAAAAACCAAGTTCCCCCGACACTGCCCCCGTCAGACACTCCCGGGACAGGGGCAGTACCGGGTGTAACACAGAACAAAGGGTCTAGGCCCGAAACGTCAGCCTCTCTGCTCCTATGATGCTGCTTGGCCTGCTGTGTTCATCCTGCCCTGCACCTTGTTGTCTCATACTATATTTTGACCTTGTTGAGACCAGTTACTTGGTTCATTGTTCTTCCCGAACATTCCTGTGATGTTTACTGTCTCTCAGGTTATGCACATTGATTCATTTTAATGGCCATTGCTCATGGCAATGATCTGAAGGCATCTGACTTTGGCAAAAGCATTACTTTCTGAATATTACAATAATATCCAAGATAAACATCAACACCAAGAAAGCAACACAGCAGGAAGAAGATTCAAGCAGATATATTTTCACCTGATCTATTCCATATCGGCGAAGATAGTTATAAGGCCATTTGTAGACATCTTGTTTTGTTCTGGGATCTTTCAGAATCAGGCTGTCTTTGCCTGGTATTAACACATAGGTTCCTTGAAGCTCACATCTCGTTGAAGCTTCAGTCTTCTGTACCGTCACAGTGAATTGATTTACAGCTGTTTAATACATTTTCAAATCATTTAGTGACAAGTAATGTTTACCTTTTTAAAAAAAACAGAAGAACCACAGATGCAGTAAATAGGAATACCAAAACAGAAGTTGCTGGAAAAGCTCAGCAGGTCTGGCAGCATCTGTGGAGAGAAATCAGAGTTAATGTTTTCGGTCTGGTGACTCTTCCTCAGAACACCAGATGCTGCCAGGCCTGCTAAGCTTTTCCAGCAATTTCTGTTTCAGTTGTTAATGTTTACCTTTAAGTAGTCTTTCACACAAACAGAATATTTTTTGGGATCAGCATTCTCAAAATATCAATGGCCTGGCATTCTGCTGAGACTTAAACATGAGTTCTTCACTTTTCCTAAACCTACCCTTCACAGAATTTTAGCGGCATTTTCCTTTGAAAATGTTTTAGTTCATTTTGTTCTTGAAATAAGGCCATCACGTTAGAAGCTCCACTTATTCGTCCCCAGTGACCTTTGACTTCAATGTTTATTCAGAGAATGCAAACAACATTGGTGAGAATTGTCCCACTCATCACACCCACCATCTTCATAGGCTGAATCTGAGGAATTGCTGCTGCCAACGTTGTTCCACATATACATGGAGTTTCCTTTGCACATCTGGTGTCAGGATGGAAACAACTAGAACAAACATCCCGGTCACTGGGCTTTTTCTCCAGCAAATGCTATTACT